ACTAGAATGCTGGAAGAGCATGTTCTTGGAGACAAATGCTTTAAAGCATAAATAAGGTGAGTCTTTCTCCTCATCGTGACATCAAGTACTGTAAGAGTGTAAGCCTGGGCTGGTGTTGGTGTATAAAGAACCAAAAAGTCAGGGAAGGGGCTCAGAAGAATCCAGATTCTATAGCTCATCAGAAACAGCTTTATTGGGATCTGTGAATTATCTTTCAGGTTTCCTGCCTGTTCAAGGCAGTAAGATGATTTGTAGTTGCATGCCAGATAAGTTGGGAACAAAAGTGAGTCACTGGGCCCTTAGAAGCTAGGGGTGTATTTATGTTTCTGTGGAGTATTTTTTAGCTACTGCTAGGCAGAGCTAGAAGGGTAGCTCCTGGCTTCCCTAGTTGGAGGGGATATGGCAGTTCCCAGAGAAGCAGCTCTCCCGAGGAACTGGCTGAAGCCCATTTGCAGGAGGTTTTCTTTGTCCCAAGCACACCTATGTGCAGCCCAAATGTGTCACCATAAAACCTCTTGGCACCTACATGGTGCTCCTCAGCATAGAATTTCAAAGCCCTGTGTGTGTGCGGGCGGCCCCAGGCTTGCCTCTGCTTTGGGGGGTGGGGGGTGAGCTCTGTGGATTACAGAGCTGGGGTTTGCCTAGGGAGCTTCTTCCACATGTGAGTCCTTAACCACTGGGGAATATTCTCTCCAAGGTACTTTTTCTTGTCCTCAAGACGTGATTTGACCTCCTTGCCCCGCTCAGGGTCTATGTCTAGGTATTGCTGCTGCTGGCAGACAACACTGCTGCATCCCTGGTACCGAGTAGGTGGAGAAGCTCCTGGATTCAGGTGGAAAGCCTGCCCTGCTGAGTGAGGCTGTACAAGCCTCCTGAATCCTGGGCTAATGCCCTGCCTGCAAGGCCTCCTGCTTTGCATTGCTGTGCCTCCTGCTAAATAGAGCAGTTATGTTATCCTTCCAGGTGCCCCAGAAGGGTCCCTGAGGTAGAAAATGAACCCAGAGTATTTTGTCATATTGCTGGTACCAGCAACTGCTCCCTCCAGCAGCACTAAAGGAGTTAACTGGTATAAAATCCATTCTATGTAGCTGCCTGTTCTGCCCTGACTTTTTCTTGCCTGATAAAAGGTTTGGGATGGATGTGAGGCTCTTTTCCCTGGCTTCTGAAACTTTTAGCACTCTGTGGTTATACCTGGTCCCCCCCTCAGCAATTCCCAGAGAGGAGGCAGGGGCACAACTCCCAGCATGAAGAACAGCTCAGGACACAGCTGGTGGGCTCCAGTGGTCTCACCTGATTTGGTGCCTCTTGCTCATTTTTCTTGTCCTCAGCCTGCTTCTGCACTGTTTGCCTCTGGCTCAGTGAAAAGTGTGTCTTTTAAAGTATGGAAATACTTGTTTAAAATGCAGAAAAATGTATTTATGTGGTAATCTGTGATAATTTGATGGTAATCCCCTCATCAGTAAACTGAGAGTGAACAACTGATAGTTAAATCAAATTGCAAGGCCTTCTGTATCTCAAGGCTTCTCCTGACGTTCTAAAATCCATTTCAACTAATTAATTTCTGTAGATGATCTTCTAATGTACTTTACCTGTTTTCTCTTTAGCATTTGAGGACTGTTCTACTGTCCTTTCATTTTTTATGGCTAAGATCACTTAAGAAGTATGATTTCATGTACCTGAGAAGATTGAATACAGTAGAAAATTATATTTTAGTGGTGATGGTTTCTTCTTTAGGATCCACATTCTGCTCTCCAAATTAGTAAGGAATTTCAACGACCTGCTAACCTGCAAAAGGGTGAGCTCTTGGGGACAGAAGAGTTAATTGTATAGGACTAACCCCAGTTCCCTCTCCTGTATGTTTTCAGCATGCTTAAATCTATCAGAGTATAATTAACTTCTTCAGTCATGGCCTTTCAGCTATTTTAGCTTTACTTCCATGTATAATTTTTAACATAGTGTGTTGAAAGAAGGTGCTTGTATGTGTGAGACATTCTCTACTTCTGTGACTTGTGCAACTTTTTCAGGCTGAGGTTCAAATTTTTTCCTTTCTACAGATTATTGTGGTGTTGTGTTAGAATTAAACAGTTTTATGGACCTTACACTTCTGAAAGTTATAACCATAAGTGGGGAATCTCTTGATCTCTTTCATGTCACTTGGATATCCTAAACTCCTGGGCCTAAAGGAAAAAGATGAACCTGAACTGTATTCAATTTTATTGAGACTAAATTTTATTGAGTAAAATCCAACATTTAACAGCTGCAGGCCTCATGCCATATTGTACTGTGATTGTTTTCTCTGGATCAGTGAAATTTGTGTGTCAAGGGGAAGAATTACAAAAGATGGGGCTTATAGAGATGTTTCATGTTAGGCAGAGCAAGAATTTATTTCTTTCTGAAGGGGAGGAACAAATTTGACATATCCTGGGAAACCTCAGCCATGGGCAGACACTACACCTACTTCTTCCTTCTATTCCACACCTAAGTTGGTCCCACCATCCCCACAGGTGAAAGGAGAGATCCCCTGAGAGGGGTCAAACAAATTAAATTGTGCATGAACAGAACCTATCCAATAAACCATCTGCATTGTGGCTGTGGGCTTTGGCCCCACAGTGGCACAGGGTGTGATTTAGGGCAGCTCCTTCCCCAGGGTCAGCTTATGCAGCCCTGTCCTGCTGGAGCCTGGGGCACTGGGAGTACACACAGCCAAGGTCTGGCTCACTGATACAAAGGCAGTACCACGTTCTTCTGAGACTCACAGCCTTGCCTCATGGGTTACCTAGAGCTGTTGTTCCACCTTGGACTTGCAAGGAGAGGAACTCCTTGGGCATATAAAAAGTTGCAGTTCAGCTACTTCAGGCATTTACCTCCCCATTTCACTGGGCTGGTGGGAAATGCTGACTGAGCCACTTCTCCAAAGTGCAGGGTACCTCCTCCTGGGCCTTCCTCCATACAGCATCACCCAGCTTTGTGAGCAGCAGCTTTCTGAGGCCATTAGTTAGTCTTTGTTTGCAAATGGGTGAACTGAGGCAGCAATGCTGGATGAGCAGCCAAGGTCATGAATAAAATAACAATTAAAGCAGACCCTTTTAAGTCCTCTTTTCTCTGCTTTAACTGTGACCCTATAGGCTTCAATAGCTGGAGAACGTAGTCTCTACCTGTAGTTTCAGGTGTAGAACGTTTAAAGGACGAGGTTAGAAGTCTTCCCACAAATAGGCCTTTGAGAAAGAATGTGGGATCAGGCTTTCAGTTATGGCTCTGTGCAAGGTCCCACTGGTATAATGCAGTTTCAATCCTTTGCAAAATATTCAGACTGACTTTCCCTATGTGGCAAATCTGTTGAAATCTGGATAAGCTGCACAGATTTATACTGAGGAATGCTCTCCTGACATCAGTGTTGCCACCTCATATTTCTAATTTGACAATTTTATAGGGCTTTAAAAAAATTACTTATACTCTTGCTGAAACATTAAAGCCTGTAACAAATCTAACATGGTTTAGTTACAAACTGAAGCATATGGGATATCTGAGTGGCAGTAGTACCTGCATAAATTTGAGGGTAGTTGCTTTTTTTGTGATAGTACTGCATGCTACTTGAGAAGAGCACTGAATCAGCTTAGGCTGATCCTTGGAGGAAAAATGTACAAAGATAATTGTAATTCCTTCTAAACAAACAGAGGGAAAGAAAAAAAATGGAATTAATTTTAGCTTTCTGGTTCTCTGCTACTGGATTTAGTCACAAATCTAAACCATCTGCCCCACAGAGACATGCTGATCTGTGGAGAGACAAACCTGTTACCTTCCAGCTGCTCTGCTCTCTATGCTTTACATCTCCCCCAGCAGAAAAAAATTAATATGACTTCATTAGCTCCCTACAACTGGGGTTTGCCCCTCTCTGGCTTGTTTCATAGGCCAAGTCTTATAACTCAGTCAGGCAAGGAGATTTACAGAGCAGCACATACTTTCAGGGCTGTGGTGCCCATCAGTTGAAAGTCAAAGTTATTAAAGATTAAAACTACATCCCCAGTTTGTTTTTGTTTTATTTTTCCTCTTTTGTGTGTATGTGTTACAGGACTGTGGCTGTAGAAAACAGCTGATCTTTTATCAGCTTTTAATAAAATGACATGATTACCAGAGCCCTCCTAGCTCTCAGTACACCTTGAGAATAGAACTTCACATCTTTGTGACACTGGAAACAGTTTATTTCATGTCAGAGTAAGATATCTCAATCTAATCTTATTTGTTTAAGGAATTTGATGTAAAAGTCTTCCATCTTTTATTGGCATTGAATAAGGGATTTTTTACACATTAAATACAGAAAAAATATATACTTCTGTATATATTAATAAAGAAGTGAGGACTTAGCAGTTTATCTATACAAAATGTCAGTTTGCTTATATTTCATTTTCAATATTTAGCAGTCATCACTGGATTTTACTTATCTATCACCCAGATTTATAATACAGGATACAGACTATGGCAGATTGATTTGCTTACATGCAAAGATGTTCTCACTATTATTTAGTTACTTGATTTTTAGGTACAGTGGACAGTTGGATAAATAGACAATACATGAACTAAATACATGTTCTTCCTCATCCTATAATTAAAGTGCCTACAAATCAATAATACACTTAGTATTCTTATGAAGCTGTTGTCATTTTTAAAAATTCAGTTTAACACCTATGGATTTACTATTGTCCTAAAAAAAACAAGCTCAGTATGTAAATCCTAGGAAGATCAGCTGGCCTTTTTTTGTTTTACTTTTGTATCAGCCTAGATTTAATATTTCTCAAAAGCTTATTAAAACAAAACAAATAATAATAATAAAAAAAGGTAAATAGCAAGACTTCAGTCTCAGCAGGCTGCAGCTCAGGTTTTCAGGCAGTCCTACATCACCTTCCAGCACTGCCTTCCCGGTGGAGCGGCGGTTCCCGGCGGGGCAGAAACTTGGCTGTGTTGTTTGCGCAGACGCCGAGGGCCGGGGCGGGCGCTGCCGGGCCCTAGGCGCGCTTGCCGCTGTCGAGGAGCTCGGTCAGCTCGCCGATGTACTTGATGGTGTACTTGAGGGTCTGTATTTTGGTGAGGGGCTGGCCGCGCTGGCTGTAGACGGGGGGCAGGTAGTTGCGCAGCGTGTGCAGCGCGTCCGCCAGCGTCCTCATGCGCAGCTTCTCCCGCTCGCTGGCCTTCCTGCGGCGCTGCGCCGACATCCGCGCCTTGGGCCCGCGGGCCGGGCCGGGCCCGCGGCCGGCCGGCAGCTCGGCCAGCGCCAGCGCGCCGAGCGGCGCCTCGGCCGCCGGGCAGGGCGGCGAGCAGCACGGCTCCAGCGCCGGCGACAGCGGGCGCAGCTCCAGAGGCCCGGCGGAGCCCTTCCAGTCCCAGGGCGCCAAGCAGGCGGCGTGCTCCGAAGCCAGAGCGTCTTCCATGTGCATCAGCGCCTCGTGCAGCTTGTCCATGCCGGAGGAGCGCTCGGGAGGAGCGGTGCCCTCGGGCCAGCAGCAAAGGCTGGAGCCGCCGGCTGCCGAGGCCTTTTTATGATGGAGGGAGGAAAGTGACGGAGTGGGAACACGGGCCCGGTGCGAGGAGTTCAAAGGAGCGCCAGAAGTGCTAAGATGGAAAATGAACTCCTGATGTGCTAGTTTCTTCTCAGTGATAATTATCAACCTTCAGCTAAAAAGCCTTTAAGCTAACAGGCAACAGCAAGAAAGAGAGAAAAAAAGATTATCTTCTCGCAACTAAACCGATTAAGGCTGCGCATCATCCTGAGCATTGTGCTAGGGGGAAAAGTGCCGGGAGAGGAAAAAGAAAATTAACCATCTTACAAAACAATTTACAGATCTAGAATTTATTGGTTGCTAACACAGACCCTATATTTAAGCCATCGAGCCCTGGTTTCTGGGTAACTGAAGCTGATGGCACTACAGCAGTGAAGATGTGGCCCATGCTGGCTGCTGCTGGGCTAGTCTCTTTTCTGCATGTTAATTGTGAAAGTCAAAGATGGTTTGTTTGGATTTTTGTGTGTTACGGCTCTCTGGATTTTTCCTCTCATGAGATTGCAACTCACGAGAAACCAATCACTTCGGTTTTCAATATGAGAAAGGAGGAAAGAACTTCAATACATTCCCCTGCAGTTTGTAGCTTTATGTGCTATTTTAATACATGACTGGGAAATCAAAAAGGAAATCTGTAATTCTAAACAAGGCCAAAATCCCATTAAAAAATAGAAAAATGTAATTAAAAAGAAAGGTCTAAGAAGCAAAATATACAGTGTATAAACGTTGGGTCCAGACAAATATTTTCTATGGAAATTTAATTCAAAGTAATATACAGGTTATATATGTGCTAGAGAAGAGTAGAAGCTACTTCTGTAAAATTTTCTACCTCTAGGAATCTGTTCTGGCAAAAAAAAAAAGACCTTTTCCAGCCCCAGTTCAATGCAACAGTGGTTATATGTTACAAAGTTCAAGTGAAAATGTATAACTTATAAATTAATATCATTAATAACAAGCACTTTTCATCTCTAGGCTTCAGTAATGCTTACAGTGATGATTAATGTTCTCTATTACTCTGGGGAAATGGCTAAGTGGAGGCAAGGAGGAACTTTCCCTAAATCACACAGCAAAGCATTAAGAGAGCCAGGAAAACTCCTGAGCTCTGCAGCTGTTGAGCAGTTTGGCTGCCAGCCATGACTTTGTGTTGGCACATAATGGAAGCAAAATGTAAGATATAATGAAAAGAAGGGGAGAAATAGCATCAACCTGGAGGAAAAATAAAAGTAGGATTTATTTTAGTTTCCTTCTGTGATGATCTCTGTGTGCTCCATAATCCACTCCAAACAAAGGCAGGGAATGCCTCAGAATTGCACACAGCCAAAGGATGCTGAGGTTTTCTGGAACATGCCACTTCTTTCTGTGAAATCCTCACTACAACCACACAGAAAAAACCCAAGCCAATACTCAGCATAGTCACTCAGAAGGCTTTTGTGAGTTTTTGTGACTTGGGTATCAAAACATTAGGAGGCATTTTATGGTTTAAGACTTACTGGGTTTATCCTGAGATGAATAAGAAAGTACCAAAAAGTGAAAGACTTTTGCATTTCAACCAAAGCTGCGAAAGTTTGACTATCATGACATCTACCCCACACAAGAGCTCAGGGCACTGCTCCCACAGACAGGATTGCTTTGTGTTTTATGGTTACCTTACCATATTCTGAGCTGTTCTCTGGTCCTTCTTTAAGGAAAATCAGATTAAACAGTCCTAAGAAGCACAGAGGTGCTAAAACTGCTAAAAACTAAAATTAAGACAAGATGACGTATTTTTTGTGACTTCAGTGATCTGAATGGTTTCATTAAGTACCCAGACAACGGCCACAATGTCACAAGTTAGACACAAAGTCTAATTCTGCATAATTAGGGAACTTGTTCTATCCCTTTCTTTTTCCTCCCTGTGTTTGTGTTTATAGTGTCTTTTCCGCTTGATAGGGCCCCTGCTCTTTTTTAATGTCTTTTTTTTTCCTCTAAACACAGCAATTAAAAGACTGCAAATACAGAAATATAAGGAGGGGGAGGTGAAAAAGGAGGTACTTTTGTCAGGATGTAAAAAGGAAAAGAAGCTTCCTAATATATGTATGTATACATGTCTACATGTACATAATATATACATATGGAATATATAAATATATTAAAAATACACATAGTATATATATAGGCTGTTCTGTACAGCAGTTTCATTTTGGAACCAAATAGCAATTTAATGCAGTCAAATTTAGAAGCAAAAACTTCAACTAAGTCACTTGTTTGCTGACTATAAATATTGTATTAATTTATGGGTAAATCACAGAAAGTGTCGCTCAGACACCAAGGGGGGGAAAGGATTTGTGAACATACAAGATTTTGTACAGATTTTTGCTGTGAATGAGAGATTAACACATTCTGATTTAATCTCTGTGTTCTTATTATATTGGGATTCAGAAGAGATTAGGCAGGGAAGAGGAATTCAAAGTATAGCAATAGCTATTTATTTTCTTATATTTTATGAGTAAATGTCTAGAGCAACCAAGGCAGGCTATGAGAGTGTGGAGATGTTGCATGTGGTTGCATGAAAATCACTGGATCTTGTAAGCTTATGCTTTTGTGAACTGTTAACACAAGCAAGAAGAATGTACAGGCTTTTCTATATTAATAGATATTATGAGGCTAATGCCTTGCAGTTGTAGTGCATCCTTTTTTATGGCCATGGTGCTCCCTGACACTTTTATCTTGGGCATGCCTATTTATGTCCCAAAGGCTGCCTGGCTGTGGTCCAGCAGAGGCCACCGAGGGCACAGGGGTGAGCAAAGGGTTTCCCCAGCCTAAAGCAAGTGTTGCCTCAGCACGTCTTCAGAGCCAAAGAAGGGGCTGTGCCCTGTTTGCCCTGCTGGTGGAGATGCAGACAGAGGTTCTGTTTGGAAAACTAGCCACCCATATCTGGCCACAGCCCCCAGCTTCCCGAAAAAGACTCAAATGAAGCGTGCCTCAGTTTTGGCTGAATTGGGAAGCGTTGTAAACCTCTCCGTGATCCTGGTGTGACCCACAGCCTGCGCAAGTCAGCAGAGTCTCGTGGCATTTAGCTGCTCTTGGATTAATTCGTTTTGGACAGTGCTACATTTGCACCCACAAGAATGAGAATTCTCACTTAGGAGATTATCTTGCAAAATATTTAAGAAAATTATAACGTGCAAAAATCAATAGGAGTGGTAGAACAGTTCTCAGTGTTATAAATAACGCTTTAAAAAGTATCATACAGAGGAAGGTAAGTCTACAGGCTGGATACCTGATTTATTTTTCTAAACCCTATGGCAACTGGATGGTCTCATTGAAGTACTAAGAAAGTCTAGTATTTCAGGTGGCCCCTTCCTAGACAGTAAATACACAGAAAAAGGAAAAGTTTTGCAATCTTTATTTTGTTCTGCCTCCTCCAAATTTTAAGAATTTCCTTTTTGTCCATTAATGTCAAAACATTGAAGGAAAGTGAGATACTAGGCTGACAACACCAATGAAATGTGAATTGACAAAAAATGATAAGGCATTTTCTTCTTGACTGGTAGTTTTCATTTCAATAATCTGTTCTGCAGTACAAAGGCTAATGTCTCAAACTTCATCTCCTTTAAAATGAAATGTTCCTTGCTCATATTTTTTAATTCATCACAGGAACATGGGTGCATGGAAGAGGCAAAAAAATTTTCTATTTAAAAAACCCAAACCACCCACAGTATAGAAAATTTCTAGAGCTTCAGGTTTTACATTTAAATTAAGAAGTCCAGATAATATGGCATGATTATGTATGGTATAAAAAAAAAAAGAATTTTTGTGTACAGCAATTTACAACTGATTTTTTTTTTTTTTTTTTTTTTTTTTTTATTAGAGTGCATTTCCACCATGCTGTAATTTTGGTAGGAGAAACAGACAGTGATTAAAAAACTCACTGGTACCAACGCACTGGTATAGTGGCTAGGAAGAAAGCAGGCTGAAACTGAGTAAACATGGATAAATGTGTTTAAATAACACTAATCTCATCGCAGTCAGGACAGAAGTCTAGGCTTATTTTTCACAAGAAGCAGATCATACTAACGTCATTGTAGAGCACTTAGATGATACAGTCTTATCTTGCAGTTTGTGAGGTAAAAAAAAAAATACATCTCCCAAAAGCTTTTAAAGTTACTTCACCTCCTCTTTTACAAACAGTTCCCCAAGTATTGGCTGCAAGGCCGCCCGCTCACTGTGGATGTGTCTGTGGCCTTCCTGCACAGGGAGTCAATCACCACATATAAAATGTGGGGCAAGCAGCTGCAGGTCTCACTAACTTCAGCAGACGCAGCAGGTGTTCAACACTTCTGAAAAACAGTGTTGAACACCTCTGTTTACATCCAAGCTGGCAATAAAGGAAGGAAAGGATCCACCACATTTGTTATCCAGACTCATATTAGCCACCAGACAACGATTCTCTCCTTTTTAAGGCTTTGCCTCATTTTGGATAGAATTCTTTTTTTTTTTTTTAGAACTTTTAGACCTTGAAGCTTCCTTCCTACTTGTAGAAGAAGGTTTAATCTGGATCCAACCTCAACTGAAACAAATGAGGCTTCTGAATAAGCAAGCTGGTCAACAAATCCATATATTTGGGGTTTTTTTGAGGTCTGTATGCTGAAGAATGCAGATGCATAGTCATTTACAGTTTCTAGAGAGAAAAAAGGCAGTAAGAGAACAAGGACCAATTCTTAGTCCAGGCCTGTAAGAGGGAGGCCAAAACCCTTATTATAGTCAATGAAAATAATGTGTAAATTCGATGTCTAATTGTTATTAGACAACTAAACCATATTTGGTCAAGCAAATCTATGGCTAGCACAAAATAAACTGTTGTTATTAATTTGTAGTAAGATTGGAAATAGTCTAGTTCTAATGATGTTTAAAAAATCCTGCCA